AACTGGATGAACTAGTCTTGGAAGTATCTATGGGGAAAACGGAATAGATCGCTATAGAACACAGTAGCATCAGGCTCAAGTATGAATCTCTTTTTGTAATTTAATCTCGCTAGTTCTGTTCAACAAAGTTTTAGAAAGGTCGGCTGCCCTACTTTTTTGAACGGGTCAAGTTAGCATAGGAAGGTGAAATGAAAATACTATACCAAGTGTCAACGAAATCGTTTTACAAGGCATATTCAATTGCTGTTTAAAGAAGAACCTTGACATTTTGTGTGAAGATATGACTTATAAAAACTCAGATTATCCATTAAAAAACAACTGAATATCGCTTCCGGTTTGACCGGAAGTGAGTATGCAACAACAATTTTAAATAGGACCCTGTATATATTTTTATATATTTGCATATAGCTTAATTTTTTTTGCCTAACTACCTGCTAATTTAAGAAGCAAAATGGATTCTCTTGCCGCTTCTACAAAAAAATTGTCATAAATTTGGGACCATTTTTATTTTTATTTAAAATGTCAAAATGTATTTAAAATTTTCTCAGAATTTCGAATAGGAAACGGAGCTTTCTAAATGCTAACAATAAAGAGCCTCTTATTTCCGAAAGAACAATGCTCAACAGTGCGTTTATTTTGTATTTTTTTTTATTTCTAACGATAACAAGAACAATAACGGAAATTAGCATAGTAAAAACTAAGCTACAAAAGTAACTAAATAACAAATAACTTAGCAGATAAATTAATAATTAAAAATTAGGAAAAATCATTCATTCGTTGGCCTCCGAGTTGTTGAAATAACCTGACTCTCTTGATGTCTTCTATAAGCAATTTTCGTAAATGTTCTTGAGATATGTTTTTAGTGGCTGATAGAGTAGATACTTCTAGACTAGAGACGGTGCAGGAGTGGCATAAACTTTTTCTTTTGATTAGCCCCAAATTGAAAAATCCAGAGGGGTTAAATCTGGCGACATTGCAGGCCAACGGACTAATCCGTTGGTTATAAGCCAATTTCCACCGAATCGCTCATTTAAGTAATTAGTTACAACCCTAGAGTTGAGGGCAGGGGCGCTATCCTGCTGGTATAATAAATGTTCGTTGTTCTGCAGTTTTTCTATATAATGTTCTATTTGGTTTTGTAAAAATTCCAAGTACATATTACCATTTAACGGCTGATAGAAAAATATAGGACCAATGATATTAAGCCCTGCTACGCCTAACCAAAGATTCACTCCAAAACGTTCCTGGAAGGCACCTTCTCTCACTAGCTTATGGTTCTCCTTATTTCAATACTGAGTATTGTTCGTTTAAACATCCCCAGATCAGTAAACCTGGATTCATCCCCAAAAAATAATATGATGATGGAAGACCGCATTTATGTTCAGATTATTCAAAAACCTGTTGCAATAATTAAGTCGTCTTGGAAAACCATTTTCAAACCGATGGTGATGAATTTGGTACTTAAAAGATTTAAAGCCATGTTTATTTAAAATTTTTCTTGCACTTCAGTAGGAAATTAGGCACTGCTCACATACTTCGCGAGTAGAAGCAGTACGATCACATTCTACCTACGCTAAGACGTTTATTTCGACTTCTTCGCTTACCTACTATAAAACCATTACCATTAACAGGATCGTTATGTTTATTTTTCAAATGTTCTACGAACCAATGATAATAGGCGTGTGATTGAGCTTGACGATCTGGGAACCGCTCCTGATATAATCTTGCGGCGCGCCTGGAATTTTTTTGGCATTCTCCATAAATAAGGATCATGCAGATTTGATGGTCTCTTAAATAATTCATTATACTTTGTAGCAGTTAACTACTAAATTGATTTCAAATAAAATAAAAAATATTACACAATAAACGTTGCTGACGCGTGGAAACGAGACTGATAGTTGACAGTAATTTTAAAGGCTTCCCCGATCATTTGTTTCTAAAGGATCCCCAGATCTCCGTGCAAACTAGTGAAATATTCGCCCCTGTTCATTATTACAATTCTGGCTTTTTAAAATAAAGAAAAGAAAACAAAACAATTATATTAAAAAATGAAAATGATAGATATTTTCTGTCACGTGACTAGGTAAATACCTATTAACTGTGCTTAGGTAATAACAAATACTAATTTTCTAATTGGTTATAATGCATCATGATATAGCTCTCCAAAATTTTCCAGCTTTTTTCTTTAAGACAAGTTCCTTATAGTGGACATTTTTTTAGAGATAATCCGACATACTTTATTAGTAGTATTTAGAAAAAACCTTTTACTGTTCAGAATTCTGAGAAAATTTTAAATACATTTCGACATTTTAAGCAAAAACTAAAATGGCCGCAAATTTATGATTTTTATTTTGTTTTGCCAATTCAATGCAGAAGCTACAACAGAATCGATTTTGCCTCTTATTTCAGCGGTTCGTTTGGCAAAAAATCCACAGGTATTGACAAACGCCGCCATATTGAATTTGGCGTAAATGTCATTTTGAAATAGAATGACAACTTGTGATACATCATTGGAAAGGGAATTGTAAGCTTTATAAAAATATGTAGAAATATATACAGGGTCTTATTTAACATTCTTGTTTCATACTCACTTCAGGTCAAACCGGAAGCGATATTCAGTTGTTTTTTAATGAATAATCTGAGTTTTTATATATCATATTTTCACACAAAGTTTCAAGGTTAATTTTTTTACAGCAATTGAATAGTACCTTGTAAAATGGCTTCGTTGACAGCTAAACATTTCAAAATGGCGGTTGGGCACTGCATAATTTATTACATATTCGGATGGACCCTTCTAAGAGATAAACATTGATTCTACATATTATAGCGTTTTGATGATTGAATTGAATTGAAAGTTATAACCGACTCAATGCACAAAAACGCCCAATTTCACTAGCCTGCCAGTTCGCCACTTTGAATAATAGTAACATTATTTATAGGATAATAAATTTCTCATGAAGAGCTTCAAAATGAGATATCGCGCGACCTTCCGTTCGAGTTGGAGAAATGTTCCAAAATGGAGCCCAGCCGCCATCTTGAAAGTTGCAAGTATGCGTCTACTCGTATATTCTATTATCTCGATTTTCAGCTTGCTGACTTGACCCATTCAAAAAATAAGTAGGGAGAGCGAGTTTTCTGAAAAGCACTATATAACTGAGACAGATATAACATCTGATACGAGTGAGAGAAATTGCGTATAGAAGTGCTTCCTACTTTTGCCACTTCCGTCACAAGCGCGGCAATTTTCTTTTTGTGGTGCAGTGGCTGCGGCATAGTTTCGCAGAGAGACTGGATCTCTGGATCAATAGGTCATTAGCTCCACAGTTTATTTTTAACTACGAACGTTTAATGCGGGGTTATGGAGTGACGCTAGTGACTTGCTGAGTTGGATTAATGCTCACGTTATTACAATATTCGTGTTTTTTATTTGTTGCAGTTGAGTCAGTTCATGGTATGACCTAAGGTTTCTGTTCAAGTTTGAAATAGTTTCAAGTCTCCGATACTATCACGTCTCAGTCAATTGTAGGGCCGACACACTGCTAAAATCTGAAACCAAGTTCGGGTTGAGCAATATTAGGCAAGATGACAATTGAACGGCGTGAATGTTGCATTACGACATTGGAACATGCAGCATTGATTGCTGAATTGATTTAGAATTAACTGAGATATGTGCATCTGCTGATCTACACTGAAAGACATTTCGGACTTTTTTGGACTTTTACTGCAACCTATAAATTATTCTTTTTCATACAGTTCACAATGTATGTTCTGCGGGAACATCATGCGTATTGGGCACACATTTTGGTTGTTGTTCTTGCTGTAATTGCCTATTTTGTTAATAAAAACATTTTCTCTGTCAGATTCTATTATACCTAGGCTGATGTACGTTTACAATAAACACACCGACCAATGCAATGCTGTCTGATGAAATAATGAAACGCTGAATCATACCGGAAAGGATGTATATACTTTGGTATGAACTTATGTATACCGAGTTTGAAACAAAGCATACGGCTCAATATGCTAGTGGCGACGCTGAATTTTTAAACGCTATTTGCAGTCAGTACCGAGCTTGAGATTTATCTGTTTCAAAACTTACAGTAGGAGACAAACAGACAAATACAACCGCAAATATCCAACAGACAAAAAAATTCGAGACAAACTGATACCTACTGATTAGTGATATCAATCGATTTTAAAATTGCGCACATGTACGAACGCGCAACATGCATGAAGTACGTCTGAGGTTATAAGATTGATACTCTTAACATTTTTTGCAATCTATTGAAGGTGTGTAAGACCTATTACAATATTTATACAAAGCTATGAAATAGCCTGGAAGTTGATTTAGTTTAATGGTTAATTTAAAATTTGGAGCCAGCCTACACCAATGTACAAATTTTCAATAATATAGCAACACCCACTTCATTATACTTTAAAATCAAGGCGGCTATAAAAGAGATTACACAGCAACAAAACCACTTGCAAGCTGTCACGACGGAAGTGATTAACAGGAATAGTAAGCGTAAGAACGTGCACAATGTGTGGGAAGTTGAGCAGTTCCATCGAATTTGTCCTGTCTTATTAAATACGAGAGCTATTATAGTGAAAAATAAAACTGGGCACCCTTGGAGGATGTTCTTTTGCTTCCGTTAAAATAATTTTTGGAAACATTAATACGAAGCTTTTTGATTTTTGATAATGACTCATTAGTCAATGCGCTATCTTCAAAAACACATCCTCTGCAACCCCGCACCACCACACTCTCAAGTTCGCCAAAACCGATGCAGATGTTACCAAAATTACGTAGGCACAAGGCAATTATAGATAAAAAACGTCAAAAAGGAGTTTTCGTAATGACGATCATCCAAAAGACTGCCAAATTAGAAAATGTTCGCGATAACAATACTCCCTTCTAATAAAAATAACAGGTCACTACACCATAACTTAGCACTAAAATATCACTATAACGTCCAACTCCCTGTACATCAATGCAGTACCTTGAGACACATTATTCGCTTGATGTACTGTCCACTCTTGTTGCTCGCAAGTCGTCGCCTCGAAATATACTGAATCCATTGTGCAAGTGCCACCGCTTTTATACGAAGGTGTCACTAAAAAAGATTTTCTACTCATTTTCTACACACTTTAGCGACAAATAATTGAAGGCACGCTTTAATTCTTGCTCTACAATTTTTAATCGGCCACCGTCCGTCGACAAAAGAACCGCATTTTGCGGTCCGCTAGATCGACAAAAAAGCTTTGTTATATGCATCGTTACGTTCGCGGATGGTAAAGATGAGAAACTGCATTTGGATGAAAATGAGATTGATATGAGAAACGTCGAGACAATCTCAATGCTTTTTGATAACAAGAGCTCGGTTGACTTGCTCGATTAGTAGAGGTTTGGCTAAGGATTATGCTTCGTTCCAAGAACTCGTGATCGGTCATTGCGGTCATCTTTGATAGGCCTATTTTAGTCACTGCGACGCTACATACTCGCCCCAAACCAAGAAGGCATAATTTAGGGTGAAGTCAAAGAATCGATCTCATTTCTTGATCTGTAGACAGCTCATGCTATTATTAACAATTTTTGTGTTAATTATTTTCTTTTAAATTAACTTAAGAACTCAGGATGCCTTATAATGCAGAATCAAAGATTGTGTTAGATTGTGCAACATTTCAGTAAGCAAAGTATAAATTTGATGATGGAGATTGAAAGCTGAAACGTCCAATTGAGAATTTGACTTCTCTTTCTTGTAGTCTAATCATATTAGACGAAAATACCCCTGGTTTGCTAAATAGTTCTATAGTCTGATTTTATTGGTGCAAGTTATTCAAGGGGATATTCAAAACATAGACGCATAAAATGGGTACACAAATTTTTTTGGGAAAACTTTTTATTCGACAACAGAGAATGAGAAAACGTGTTTTTTGGGATTCAATCGAAAGTGTTGTCAGGAACTAAATAATCTTTAAATAAGATTTTTAGGTATTTATGAGATCAACAAAATGAAATCACACGTAAAAAGGTCCGACCAATAGCAAAAAAGTTATGGACGAAAGCCGAGGAATGCCGCAGGTTTTGGCACCTGTTGGTAATGCGACGATGGTTTCCCGGAGATATTTGAAATTTTTCAAATTCGTAGGATTCGTACTCCTAAATAACCACAATAAAATTGGAATGAATGTGGTCAAGTAGTTTTTGAGAATTTCTAATTGTTTATCCCAAAACACCGGTTTTCCGGCCATCACTACTAGTTTATTGAGCAATATTCAGGGTTAGTTCAAAGAGCATTTTATATCAAAACACACTAGTTTACCTTGCCGATATAAATCGCAAACCATTCCGAAAGATAAATGTTATTTTTACGCGAAAAACGATTACGGATTACGTATTTTCTTCCAAACAAATTCAAACATTTCGTATTTATGAGTAGTTCGCAACAAAAGATAACAGACACATCCGCTTTGTTTTTAAATGTGTAAAGTAACGTATGTTTTCCGAATTTGCATTTGTTCAAATACTCACAAATACGAAATATTTGAATTTGTTTAGAAGAAGCAGACGTAAACTTTGTTTTTCGACTAAAAATAACATTTATCGTTCGGAATGGTTAGTGATTCATATCGGCAAGGTAAACACGTGTAGTTTGCTATTCAATGCTCTTTGAACGAACCCTGTATATTGCTCAATAAACTAGTAGTGATGGCCGGAAAAGAGGTGTTTTGGGATAAACAATTAGAAATTCTCAAAAAACTACTTGACCAATATAATCTAATTTTGTTGTTATTTAGAAGTATGAATTTTAAGTAGTTGCGTGAAATTATCGTCGCATTACCAATAAGTGCCAAGACCTGCATTTTGCCTCGCTTTTCGGCCATAACATTTTTGCTTTTAGTCGGATCTTTTTACGTGTGGCCTCATTTTGTAGGTCTCATGAACGCCTAAAAATCTTGTATGATAAGTTTTTTCCTTCCTGTCAGCACTTTCGATTGAATCCCAAAAAAACACGTTTTCTCATTCTTTGTTGTCAAATAAAAAGCTTTCCCTTAAAAATTAGTGTATCCATTTTATGCGTCCATATTTTAAATACCCCCTTGAACAACCTGCACTAGTAGTATCATACTTTACAATTATTCCGGGGAAATTTGCTAATATGGTTGGACCATACAGGAAAAAGACTGGCAATGCTGTGCAATGTATTTTAAAATCCTATTTCAAATTGAACTAGAAAATAAACAACAAATTTGCAATAAATCCGGTATACAAAACAAATGCCTATCTGATAATTTCAAGGCATATTCATGAAATTATGGTTTCATGTCGGATGTGCGCTAATCTTATAGGCGCCTATAACTTGAGAAGTACCCTCTGATTTCGATGAAATTTTTCACAATCTTACTACTATGCCAAGGGCGCAAATATTCTAATTATGCCATCTTCTAGAGGAGAAAAACTGGAAATAAGTTTATGTGCAATTTATTTTGAAATCCCCTAAATACGCAACCTTGCCCCCATATAAGCGACTCCCTATCTCTTACCGTATCCAATAGTGAGGGTCGAATTTGAAACACCTTGTATAGTCAGAGCCCCAAATTCAAAAATGTTATACATTTGCCCCGAGTTTGCATAGAAATTATAGAATAAATCTTCTAGACGGCAGTTTTTCAGTTATGCTAGGGTAAGTAACTGGACCTCGACTTCCGAATGTCTTAACTAAGCCTAAAACTGGCATGTTCGCAATCGGTTTTTAGCCCCATCATTTTTTAATCTCTATACAGTGGTCAGCAACCTGCGCGACATTATATCAAATGTACGTATCACTAATTACATGAAAAATCAAATCAGTATATATATGCATGTTTCGGAGGCACAAGCATGAATATTTCATGACTGAATCATTTCAATTGTTATTTCAGCGAGCGCTAACTTTTGTTGGAATTGTTTGCCCTCATACCATATGAAAGGATTAGCCACCAGTAGCGTAAGCATTCTTTTATTTTATCGTTTTTGAATACCGAACAGTGATGGCGGAAGCACAACTTTCTCCAGTTCTGGGATTTTATGGGGTAGTCATGCGAGTAATTACGTAAATCTTTGGATCTGAATGTTAAGCTCTCCTACCTGATGCTGCATATTATGTCTATGCCTGCCAAAAGAACCCTTTAACCTTCTGCTTCGCATGCTTCTACTAACACCACGTATCCCAACCTGAATGAGTGCTGCTTAAATGTTTTGTTATTTTAAGAAAATTCAGTGGCGTGCACTGATTTTCTATAATGAAAACTTTAACCACCCTGTATCTCAAATGTTGAAATGCTTGGGAGATACCTTTATATGAAGTTTACTTTATAGAATGGACTCAAACACTGCCTCTTAAATATTGACATACAATTAATTATTATATGCATTCAGCGAGTTTATTACAGCTGCCACCGTTTCTCGCACTCTAGCTTCCAATGCCAGCAATATTTCCAGTCATCTGGTTGTACGTATTTGCCTTCAAAAGTTTATTTCCTGTCCCCATTTTCTTCTTGGTCCATCTTTTTTTCTGCGGTTAGTGGGGATTGTAATAGTCGCGTAGGCTATATAGTTTGCTTGCTGTCAACGTCTATACCCTTACGTTCTCTAATTTCAATATTCCTTATTCTGTTCTTTCTCATGAGTTGGCAATATCCACACCAGCAATTGCGTTTCATGGCTTTTATTTTGGAGGCATATTTTTTATTCATTTATCTAAAGCTCTGATCCATTATAGCAATACTTTCTATGATGCTTTTCAAATTCTAATTCTTATACGAGTGATGTGTCTGTTATTCCAGAGCGTACATACAGATTATGTATTGCTGTACTTTTTCTAATTCTACTTGCTATTTCTTTTGAATTCCGACCATAACATGTCACGCTGATATCAGGATGTTAGTATTTTTTATGTGTGCCTTTTAATTCTAAATGCCTTCCTTCACTTTTCACCACTACATACTTTGTTTTTGATGGATTAATTGTTAAACCCTACTTTGTATATTCTTCATATATTTTTCGTAATACCTTGTAAATGTCATCCTGATCTTCTGCAAGTATTACTTGATCATCTGCAAAATGCAAGGGGAACAGTTTATGATTCCAATTGGAATACCCAAAGGTCCACACTTTCTTTTCCAGATATCCAAAACCACTCCAAATGAATCTTAAAGAGCGTAGGTACTACGGCGAAGTCCTTTGGACCACTTTATCTTTTCTTTTCTGTCACTCTGTCCAATCATCTTTATTGAACTTATCATACGAGTTTCGTCCTATACCTCTTTCACAGTATTGGTGTGAATCGGTGGAAGTCTTTTTGTCTGCTAACACTTGACACAGCTAGGCAAATGGAATGCCGTCATACGCTTTTTGAATATCAATAAATACCGTATGTGTTTTCATATTGTGTTCTAAACGCTTTTCCGTTGTTTGTTTCAGGTAAAACTTTATACAAGAACGACCAGCATGGAAACCTTCAGCGTCTTCCCAACAATTTTCAATCAGTCTTTTAATTACCTTCCGGTACAAACTACAAATTGAACTGGTTACATTACTTTTAATTTTGATAGTTCATCACAGATAGCTGAAGAATTTGCTAGCGAGTAGGCAGCATAACATACCAGTATTTTTGAACTTTGTGGATGTATACTTTCAAGCACCATTCAGATAAGTTCATAGCAATGCAACTCATAAAATACTTTGTCTTTCAAAGACTGTGTAAAACGATTAGGATATCTACTACTTTGATCAATAATAAATTCACTTGACTGATAAGTCATATGCTTTGAAGGCACACTTACTGCAGTAAAGAATACTTGAGCTTGATCCCTTATATCTGCAGCATTCTTAAATATAAAGTAGAGAAGAAATATAAGTGACCAGTGTCGAAAATTTCTGAAGATCCTAATTACAGGGGGGCAGAAAGAATTCCTCGATTTGGAGAGCCGATGAAAACCGAACTAATCAAGATATAGAAAAAAACTTTATTTTTTTAAAAGCGTATATAATGCCATTTTGAATCAATGCATTTTGCA